TATAGAAAAGCTTGAAGGGTCACGTGTCGAATTGAAAGAAGGTATATAATATAATAGGAGTGATTGGATGATTGGAAATTCTGGACATTATATTATTCAAAGTCTGTGAACAAAGTCAACATAATTTTTCGTTTAGTTATATATACAGTTTACTCAATGGAAGATAATGTCAATGAGGTCACGGGCTACTTTATTAAAAGACCGATCCCTCAAACCCTCCTGGGTTCTCAGTATTTGACGTGTACTCATACGTACCTATACGTCGAAAACGCTTTTGAATTCTATCAAAACTGTCCACCTCTATATGTATAGGTGAATATTATTTTTACTATTTGTATCATTTTGTAACATAAATATTATTATTATAATGAATGGATAGAAAATTAAAATAATATACAACAACTGTACACATTTTCAAACCTCCGAAATGAAAAATGTTTCCTAGTGTAAATATAGGTACATCAAACGGTAACATTATTTTTCATTTCCTGTCCAAATATTTAATAATATCATCTATATAATATTAGTATTACATATTATATGTATATACTATATATAATGTTTTACGATAAAAACATTTTCCTTCGTGTTTACCAACGCTGCTGTTAATTATTGTAATACTTACTCTTTGTTCGACCTGCTGTAATAAGTCATATTATAGTTTACATATATTATTACCTACATTATGCCGGATGGCCGACATCGCTCGTCTCGATAAAACGTCACGATGACGAGTCAATACGCCTATATAATGTATACGCTTATGTAATTTTAATGAATTAAGTATTCACGATCCACGTTCTTTTCAATATTTATTATGTTATTATTTCTATTGGGAATACTGAGCAAGGTGGTATCGTATAATGTATAATAATATACTATATACCACTGTCCACTCCTCCTTTAGCGCATTTCCTTTGAAAAAAGTCAATTATTAAATATTTTATGACACGTTTTCCTCCCCGTGCATGATACCCTCTGCATTAAATAATATTACAAAATGCATTGAGTGCATATTATATAATATTGTAGTCAAATTCATGAACATAATATAATATGTATAACTAAAGTGAAATACGGTCGAGTGAGTTTTTCAATTTCCCGCTCACATCTTAAATGTACAAGAGAAAAAGCTGCAGTACGGCAACAGCTGAAATGCACTGCACAGTAGCTGGAAACATCAAAGGGTTAGGTCGTTATTTTTGGTGTTCTCGGAAAGGATCCGCTTCGGCGAGTTCTATAATAATAATTATTTGTCTCGACGACGTGTAAACGACATTTTTTGGATGGTTGGAATGTTTGGTGACGACGACAACGTCATATATTATTATTAATATTATGATATATTATTGTATCGAATTTTCTGGTTCGGAAATACGTAGTTATAGGTGTACGCGTTTCCGATATTATATTTTTCTCTAACACGTGTAAATTATTACGGTGTATTATTATTTATTATAATAATAATGTGACACATAATAATAAGAATATTATTATTACCGTGACGGAAAGACGACGACGACGACGACGACACAATACCAAGCGCGTTTTACGGAACGATGACGGTCATGTCGTCTTGCGTGTGTGGTTGTCGTCGTGCTGTTGTTACACTGCATATTATTATTATTATTTAGATGATATATGATGTGCATAATTTTTTATTATTATTATGAATATTATTACGGAAGACAACGTTTGAATGAGATTTTTTTACCATCATCAATGTAATATCCGGCCTGCAATGCTAGCTGGTTCTGTTCGTTTCCGCTTTGTGCAAAAGCATGTATGTACACTTAGCGCATACAAATCTGATAGAACAAAAATAAATCCAATTAGTATATTATATTATAATATAATATTAAAATATCAACTATGAGTTTATGTGCTTTTCAGACAATAATAATATTATAATTTATTATCAATTCATTCGTTGTTTAGACATAATATTTCGCCGTATCTAATTAATATTGAGCAGTACCTGCCTACAAACATAATATGGTAGGTCTTAAACCGTATGTGCTCGTGCTTTAAATAACATGAATAGTATGCAATCACGTATAATATGACAGCTACAATAAATTATTAACTCGACGATGACCAACGAAATCTTACGGAGACACATGTTAGGTATAAAACCGAGTTGATAATATTTCAAATAAATAACAATTTTTTTTCAAGGACTACAAACGTATTTAATATGAAATACTTTGATAAGATAATCAATACATAATATGAGGTAAATACAATATAATTTGTGTTAAAAATATCTGGTGCAATTATAATTATCTATATTTACCAGCAATCTTGGCATTTCTTCTTGGCACGTTAAACAGAATATTACGCAACTATTTGTTTTTCACATTCGTAAAATTGTTATTTTAATCAGACTTAAGTGCGTTATTTTTCGTATATACTTGGCTTAAAAATCACGTACGTGATTACAGTTAATATACGACGTATCATTTTATCAAAGATTGTACTGAAAGATTATCACTGTATAACTACTATATTTGAGTATTGTTGTAGTTATAATTTTTTATTATTATTATTTAGAACAATTATATTTTACACATATAATATAATACCTATACTTGTATTGCGTCTTAACATCGTTATAGTGTACCTACCACTGCGACTGCGGTTTTCAGACATTTGGCATCAGCTGAGAGATTGTCTTGTTTTTTGTTTTTATATAGTTTTTAGTTTCCTATTTTCCCGGTGATTGACGACCTGCAGGCCTTGGGCGATTAATCTTGCTGGACCCAACTGCAGCCTCCCATGAGGATATTTCCGAGCTTGTAGAGTTTGCTGGTCTGTAGCTAGGTGACGAGAAGACCGTATCCTGTAATTTTTTAGTGACTTTTTTTTTTAAATTTTAATACTACCTATTTAAATAAATGTATACGTATATTGATCGATACAGAAAAATAAACTTGAGAAACTAAAGTACAATATATTTTACAGATAGAATTTCTTACCCAAAAATATCTGGTGCCTATGTTGGTAATTAATTACTTGTTTATCAACACAATTTTTTTTCATATTTTGAAACTCGCCTTCTTCATTTATACTGTTTAAATTTGTAACAAGTGTTCTCGACAAAATGTTGATCAAGTTTTAATGTATCGCTATACATTTTTTTCCTGGCTTCTACTAATAAGCTTGTCGCTGTCACTTTCGATGTTATTGATGGAGCCCAACATTTCACTACTGCTGCATGCCTTCCTCGCGTCCACTCCAATTTTCACTTCTCGTACAAAGAAATCGTTTGTCTACGTTTCAATTCGTCCAATTATTGTGGCCAAAACCTCCGTTTTTTCCTCTTATTCCTCAATTTTACATTGCATACCTTCTTTCTTACACTCTTTTCGCCCACGCAGTTTCCGCATCGTCCCACCTCGTAATAAAACAGAAACACACAGAGGTTCGAAGATTTATCGACGATGGCCTTAATAAGACTGATTGCGGTTTCGGTTATATCGCAGCAGGTACCTATATTTCCCCTTTCGGAGGTCCATATAGGGACACATGTGTATAAATATTGATATGTACAGCTGATTTTACGGTAAAACGTCGGGCGACAATCACCGACGAGACTAACCGACTCACACATTCAAAGTATTCGATCAATAAATTAATATGTTATTAATTTATTATTATAGAACGACGTTTTGACTGTTTATTTTTTACTTTCTGCAGATCTCGAGTATCTACCTACAGATTTTTGATCCTCTTGCCGTTTTAATATATAAAACTACTAACTAAAAATTATTAGTTATAACTTATATTTTTCATACGGTTGTTTTGAATATTATAATACATAAGGTTAATTAATGACTAGAGTATAATATTTACAAGCTAGTATAATATAATATGATACGAAATAGCGGTACCGTGTAATATTTAGTATTTTATTTTTTAATTCAATAGTGTTACTATAACGTGTATTTAATTGTCGCGGGAGGCACTTCTTTGACGTACTAGCTTTATTGTCGTTTCTCGTTTACTCCGACAACAATAATGTCCCCTTTTTACAAATTCGATGGATACTACGGTTCATTGGCTATAGCCCTAACTCATTCCTCTCAAAATTGCACAAGAATGTATTTGCTTCAATACTTTCTTCCCTTCGTAGTTACTCGCTGGTGATAAAACTCTCGGTGTCACCTGGATTTTTTTTGTTGTATTTCAAACAACTTTTTTATCAGTCAACCATGGTAGGTAGTTGGCACTATATAATAATGTCATGTTACTACATCCAGTTTTAACGTAACCCGTTAAGTATTTCAAACTATAGTCCATCATATTAATCATTAATAAATTAATATTAATAAAAACATTATTATTCAAAGTTTTTCTTATTTAACACAACTCTTTAAGACATTTTGGTGTACAATACATTATTTTTAGTTTCACAATATCTGATTTTAATTTTAACTAATAGTTTCTATCCAACCAATGGATCAACATTGTAATACCTTATAATAATTTATTGACTAAATTATATTATTATATGCGAATTATATGTGAAATAGTATAAATATGTATGATAAAACCAATAAAAACTGTTTTATAGTTTATATAGTTTGCGATTATAAAAATAAATACCTATAGGTAATATAATTTATATAAATAATTATTTCATTGAGGATAAAACTCCCTTTTTATTATTTGATTAAAATTAAATGATTTTATTAATAGTAGTATTACTACCATAAACTTGATAAGTATTTATTACTTGTATCCATAAACTATGCCTACTCCGTCCTTGAGCAATGGTCATTGAAGTGGTGACATACTAATTATACATATTAATCATATTATATTGTAGTTAACTCTTCCTTACATTATAATATATTTCTGTATTATACTGCGAATAATCATTAATCATAATTATATAATATATTATATTCTTTCATAATTAATAGTTTTATTACTATCATAAATTTGTCAAACATTAACAAATTGATCAACGAATAATTTACTGATTTGTCTTATAGGAGTATATGGAAGCGAAAATCGTGCAGCTGGAATCTGAGTTGGTCGCGGAACGGCGAATCACGCAGAGGGAGAGGACGCTAAACTCCAAGCTTCAAAAACAATTAGCTCGGGTGAGTACAACACAAAATATCAGTTATATAGTTCGTCTCCGATTTTGCAAAACGCGTACAATATTCTTTATACGAGGGACGTGGTCAGTTAGGCAAATGAGGGGTCACCCCCGCGTTGGCATGGCGACGAACTGGATAACAATCCGTGCTGTCTTTTGTATGTGCTCTCCGCGAACGGACGGGCGATATTGAATTCTCCGGCAAACGACGGTCCCCCCTCCCTCAAACGTTGTGTCCCCTCACAATCATGGTTAATACGTAATATAGGTACCTATATATTAAACGGGTACAAAAAGGGGGTCGAATTAGACTTGATACGTTATTATTATGGGCTTTGTCGAGACGACTCACGATTCAAAACAAGACTTTTGTCCTTTCGCGGTGTAAGTGGTATATTGCAGCTCCGAACGAAATCTGTTTATATTTTACCCGAGATCGGAGAGCATTTCTACGTTTGAATATTTTAGTATATAAATCAGTACTTATACACACATGCATGTATAAATGTATATATTATAATATACAAAATACATATATACATTATTTATAAGTAAATATAATATACATATATATAGGTATAAGGTAATGTGATTCAAAAGCTAATACCTACCTATCGTAGGTAGCTATTTCATTTTATTTTTGCAAAATGATTTTTTATTATCCTCGAGTACTTTTTTGTAACATGAGCATATTATATTAAAGGTACCCGCGGGTTGAAGTAATACATTTTTTTTTTGTTTAAATTTCATCCTACGTCATATAATATGCATTATGCACCTACGAATTTTTAATAGTATTTATTTTTCGGTTAGCTAACAAACATAATAGTAGTATATATAAAACTGCATGAACCTTTATCTATCTTGATTAGTTTGCTAATGGAAGGCTGTATTTTTTAAATAATGTAAATAGTAAATGTATGTAATGAAGAATTTTTTTTATTTTTTCTGTACCATATTATAACATTTACTTTATACCTACTCTTATATTAGTGGCCGTTACCTACTTTTGTTTAAAATCGAATACCTGCCACATATTTTGTATATTTTATTTTGTAGTACCCACCTATTAAATACCTATTGTATGTAGAAAATAGGAAAAAAACAATTATTTAAGAAAAAAGAGTTAAAACAATGAAAGTTAAAATAATCTCAAGAGACATATTATAACATATATATTTTACAAAACATCTGAGAAAACTTAGATTCAGCTGTGTCACAACTGTCAACGGTGCATGATTTATATTTTAAGTTTCAAAGATAAATATATAAGCTTCTCTAGAGTATACAACTTTTTCGGCAATTCAAATTTTGATTACTCAGAGATTCGATAACTGCTGAGGAAAAAAACTTATTTATTATATCTATTTATAACGACCGACTTCGCAGTGTCGTCCCTTGACTGATTTCTAGAGGTGAGGAGGGGTGAACTCGATATAATATACAATATACAGTATACATTATATTGTATTTGATTTTACATTGCGTGGAAAAATAGTTATTATGTTTTATAATATTAATAACGAATATAATAAACATGAGAATATACTATTCTTTTAAATCTCGGCCGTTTTCATAATATATATGTCTTGACACCATATATCCCTGGACTTGAGTGTAAAATGTACAAGACATATAATATTAATTGGGAAAATAAAAATATAAATTACTCTTGACGATACAGAATTTACATACCTAATAGTATTAATTAATAATTTACATAATGTAGGTTCCTACTACCTACAATCTACATTAGGTACATAGTTAATAGTTATATTATAAAAAATGTTTTCGTTAAAATTAAACAAACGGCAATTCATCGTTTTTTCTTAATTTTCTAAGTCCATATTATCGATCAATAATCATAAAAAATATTACTCGTCAAATGACATGAGGTACACCCTGTATATTATATAACGCTTGTGTGGATGATGTATTAAATATATATACCTAACGCGTATAATATATGTTATATATTTAAGCTAATGACAATCCCTCTCGGGTCTGGTTTATGTTTCATGTGAAGAGTTAGAGTGACAACGGTCCGTCGCTTTCCACACAACTTCCCCCTTTTAATTTTGAAAAGTGCTGCATTTCGTTTGTCCAAAACAAAGAGGTAGCGAGAACAATGTCAAAAAAACGTCCACTCAAAAGAGTATGACGAAATAAAGAAGGAGATACCACCCTTGTTTGTTGTGCGCGTACTGTTGTCGGTAAACGAGTAATCTTTTAGATCAAACAAAAATAGTGTTTACGCAAACATAATCATGGATTGACTTATCGTACACAAAACATTTTTGGGTTTTCGATTAAAAAATAAGAGTAACAGAATTCGGATTAATTTTATATGGAAAATTGTTTCGCGTCCTAAAATGATAAATGTTGATCGCGCGGACGAGTTGCCAAGAGTGAAGTCGTCCCGGGGGGCGCATAAAGAACTTCAATATATAGGGGAAGTTCTTGTGAAATCTTATTTAACCATCTGAGACCTTTGTGTTACGGTTCAAGTATCGGCCAAGAGTGTTTGGCTTTAATTGGACGTTACGCCTGTTGGTCAACTCAATTTTCTAACAAAAAAAAAAAATGTGCAGAGCCTTCTGTACAGGTATATTCACCTATACGTTATACACACATACTAAACATCCACATCACCATAGTTTACGTAAACATGATAACTATTATCGTTTTAGAAGCTGCATTTTCGGTGTTTTGTTGAATTATTTTTGAGTTTTACGAATAAACAAATTAAATATTTTACACAGAAAAAATTCTACATTATTATGTCGAACAGTCGAACAACGATATCTCGAATTTTTCGTAATCTCGAACTCAATTTAAATTCCCTTGAAATAATTACCATATGATAGCAATAAAACTCGACACATCGAAATGTTTAATATCACGAACTACTTTTTTCTGTTCCCTCGAGTTTCTACATAACGAGAGTTTACTGAATTTATATAACTGGTACCCACTACACAAGTGATGTATACCTATATGAATTTGTAAAAGGTTCGAGAGTCTATATATTATATAATCAGCGAATTCAAATTAACCTGGCGTTTCGATTAACAGCAATACTCGGCTTGGCTATAAATTACATTATGCAAAACACGGGATTGCATTATAAATACATACTATAGTAATAATACTTTAGGGAGGTAGTAAAGTGTATATCGCACAAATAGGGTACCTTTCCAACAATAATTCTGTAAACTGGATTATTTTTCGATAACATTTTAAACCATTTATTATATTGGGAAAAAAATATTTTAAAATTGTATTTACATATTATATTATATTTTGTTTGACATTAAGTTCTACCTCCGAGTTCTAGACTGCCACTATTTTATTTTCAGTGTCTATACCATTTATGTTGCTTCTTTACATGCGTCATACATATCGTGTTTGCTTGATTATGCTATATTAAAAATTTGTATAATATGTTTATATTGTTTTATTTCTAATTTTCATATAATTTTTAATTATTTTTTTTTTGCACTAGTTAAGATATTTTATATAACATTATATTTTTTCAACAAAATAATATTTTTAAGGAAATAATTCTAGGAATGATGTTAATTGTGTTATAAACCGATCAATATTGGTTCATCATATACAAATAATTATAACATTATGCAACAATAACTTTTTCTCACTTATTGATTCTTTTTCTATAATATGGAAAATTTAAAACGAAATATATATTTTTCGATAAGAATAGTATCCAGGTGGCTTTCCTTCACCCTTGTATGCGGATACAGTGTATTTTGATTTACGTTTCAAAAGCAATCCCGTTTTTAAGAGTCGAGTCTCGCGTTCTAAAATTTATCGCATCCTAACAGGAAGCCAACGAACCGCGGTATAAGCCGGTAAACACCGCCCTTTCCCCTCTCCCAAGACATTACCCTACAGAAGGTATATCGTAACCGACTCTGGAATTCCTTTAAACATCCGGTATAGGATTTTCCAGAAAAACATCAATCATCAAAGGCTAACTTCTATATCACAGCTTGCGAAAATAAAGGCTAAGAGAAATACAATCGTAAGTCGTTCGAATCCCTTCGTCTTTAATATAAATTACTTATTTTTTTTCGGACTTTCGGGGTAAAATAAAATAGGGGGTAAAGCTATTTGGGTTCTAAACACCCTAGGTCCTTTTTCCTCGTGCGAGGTATGTACTTTATACAAGCTGGTTGGCCAATCCAATTTAAGAAAAGGGAGCAGCACTTTTTTGGAAACAATAAATATATCGACTGTTAGTGGGGAAAAAAAATAAAAAAGTACCTACAGACCTTTTGTATTTCTAATACGTTTAAAATTATACGTCTGAGAATTGTTTAGTACCCTGTTTTATACAATATATATATATTACTTACTACGTAAATACTTATTATTTGTAATACAATTCTTTTTTAAACGATTGATTACTTTAGATATTCCTATAAGTTTTAATAAAAGTAAATTTGTTAAATTTGTTAAGTAATATATTACATTTACCGATTCAATTGTTGTTTCTGTACTTTGAATAGGCACAATAATAATTATATAGTTTACTAGGTAATCAACAAATATATAACATATATTTCACTGTAATGCATATTACTTGAAAATTTTTAAGTTATAAAAATCGTTGACGTTTGTTCAAAGTTTCAATATGTAGGTAATATGTATGGGTAATAATAGTAATAACTAATAAGTATTTATCTAAATGTTCTCTTCTTATGTCATATATTTTGATCTCGTAATCAGCGATGTTTTATTTGGTAATTTATTCGCAGGAATTTTTATAATTTTTTTTTTTTTTTTTTGTCAGTATTGATTATTGTATTTATAAAAATGCACTATAATATAATAATATAGGGTTCGAAGATTTTTTTATTTCTCAAAGACATTTCCCTCTATATAAGAATTGGACGGCCGTTGGTAGAGGGTGACGTGCACGTATAACTCTTTTTTGTTTTTTCTCTACACATAGGAAAAAGTATAAATCTAGTGGCCATTAAAAAAGCTTTCTTCCGTATATGTGCTCTTTGTCAATTCGGACCGATTTTACGCGCCGTCGACCAAATGGAACGTTTAAATCTCGTTTTGCTGGCGTCTACAAAAGTAGAGAACCTCCAAACGACTGTATACAGATAAGAAAACCCAATTTAATCTTTTTTAAAAAAAAAGGAAAATAATACTTTCTGTGTAACGGTTTCAAAAACCGTGTAACACAAACTATGTTTGTTGTTGTTATCACACGGCGGTTAATGGTTATATATCTGGAGAGGGAAACGGGGCCTTTTTAATCCAACCACGTGATGGTAAAATAACGCTATACTTTCTTGAAAGTCTCCATGTTAAACTTAGGAATTCGCTAAAACCAGAGGTTCTACAGTTACACGAAACTATGTCAATAAATTATTCAAAATATTTTTGAACGGTAAGACTTTAAAAGGGTTCACTATGCAATATTTGAATTCCTCAGCATCAAACAAATTGAATCTATATTGATGTACATCACTCTCCTCTCAAACATTCCGTTTGGGAGTGCGAGTTTCAAAACACATTTTATTATTATTTCTGATAGGAGATTATAATATATTATGATTCAAGTACATCAATAATTTAGTAACCATAAAGATCATGTTACTTTTTAATTACAGACAAATAGAATAGTTAATTATACTGTCAATAATAAATAATAAATGGTTTGATTTAAAACTTAATGTCAATCACTTTTAAACATTTTTGTGAAAATTTAGTCTATTGTAAATATTACACTTATCATTAGAATTCATCCAATTATAAGTAATTAGGTAAAGTGCGTGTTAGCATAAACCATAAGCAAATATTTGCATGTAAAACGTAAATAACAAATAGTATGCCATATATTATTAATATATTTGGTATATATGAGTTAAGATGTTGAGAATTTTATAATATTCTTGATTTATTTGAGTTCGGTATTGGAACACGCCATGTAACTGTACAATTAGTAGGTAATTTATTATTACATATTATAATAAAATTAATTGGAAGTTAAATAACCCTTAAATAAAACGATTTTAACAAAGACGTTTGGGTAGTCAGTTGTGTTAATATAAGGGTTCACAAAACTTAATGTTGCCAAGTTCTGTTCTTTGTTTTCAAAGTGTTTTTCTACGATTATATAAGCTTGGAAGTACAATATTATAATTTTAAAATCATTATTAAAACTTTAAATGTACTTACCATTAAGTTAATTTTTTAACATTTCAATTATTAATAATTAGTTAAAATAATTATTGTAAAAGTATGTACTTCATACCTCATAGAATAACTAATATTCCAATTAAAAGTTATTTTTCATATAGTAACATAAAAATATTGAATATAATTTTTAAATGTATCTAAAATTTACTTAAAGTTATTTTGTCTAATAGGATTTACCTACTAATGACTTTTGAAATATACCTGTATAGTGCATAATATTATTATTTATTATATTATTGTATCGTGGCCATAATAAATATTTTCTTTGTATACTCAGTAGCACAACAATAATAATAACACATTACAATACTCAATCAGTCATAACATATATTGATATTTATAAATTAATTTTATTGCAATACACTATTGTCGAAATTCTATCCATTACGATAAATAATAGTCTCTTAATTCAAACTGACGAAACCTTTTGTGTTTATCTATGTCTTTTGTGTTGATGTTATAAAGACATCTATCTAACCCTGATTGGTAGTCTCAATTTCTCTTTACGATATGCCTGTACATTCTTCGATCTCTTTAATGCTGATTACTGACTGATCATATAAAAAACTTCTGACCCATTCATTTTCACATAACTACAAAATATAAAACTACTTGACACTACGTCGTGATTTTCGAGCACTTCATAAATTTACGCTGTACACGAAAAAACTTAAATCAATACTATATTATAAGATAAAATCCTCATTACTCGTGTAATGCAAAATCGAAAAGTGTGAAGATTTTTGTTAATATTATTGAAAATATATAGGACATAATAATTACTTATAATATTAAATTATTTCAATAATTGACAGTAAAACATGGCAATTAAAATATATAGATTTAAGAATTTTCGAGATCAGATAATCTTTGTTTCTACCCAGGTACCATGTTTTTTTTACCATGCAATATATGATGCGTACATTGTACATATAGTACATTAATTCGTTTTTAATTGCCGGTTTTCGGATGATTGTAGAAATAATAGTCTAAAAACTGATTTCATAATTTTACTTCGAAGTTTTTCATTTTTTTCTTACATAATATTATATTAGTTATATATATATTATATGGACTCTACAGATGTCTCGGGAAGGATTTACAACAATATATTATTCTGTTTGTATTGTATTGGGTTTTATATCGTTCAATTATAATGTATTATAGTAATTTATGAGCATCTGCAATATACCAGTATATTTATCAGGAGAAACATCGTCGTTGCCCACTTACGGGCAATCGCGTACGGTAAACGTATGAAAAAATTCACTATAAAAATAGTTTTTTTTTGTCGTGTAGTCGTTGTCCATACATATTATATCGGTCTGAGATACACGCGTGGGCGAGACTTCTGTATATTAACGGCACACGACGAGCCATATTCGTTTTTGCTAGGTATATTATACAAAATGTGCAGTATAGGTATACAGGATGTATTTTTCTGCGTAACACAATCGCTCGCTTTTCTAAACAAATATAAATATTTTATTTTGTGTTACTTTAAATTAAAAAAAGTTCTAATTTTCTTACCTTTATTTTTTACCCGCGTTTTTAGATTTTATACCCTAATCAATAGAGATCATATTATTATTTATAATGATTTCATTTAATTTTAATTTTTAAAAGACTAAAAATATTGATAGACGAACAAAATATATAATGTATGCCTTACAATTTGAATCTTTTGTACAATCATTGCTTACAAGACATAATTCATGTATGTATCCCCCTCACAAGCTTAAAATGTAATACTCAGTATAGTGTATTAATATATTAAAGAGGCTGCCGCTTCAAAAAAAGTGTATTCATAATATATTTTACACATGATAAATCATGTGGACTAGAAGTGTAAAATATGTTGCATCAGTCTGGACCCGACTTTCAACCTCTGAATCAGTTACTTTGTTACAAAATTCGATTTCGCGTTTTAAAAAATATAGTCGTATTTGTAATATTATTATGTATACGCACCTACTTAAGTCTTAAAGTTGTTTTATACTTTTAAAAACACAACAGCATATTTTACCAGGAAAAACGAGTAGTGCCTATCGAAAACAAAAATAATTTTCTAGTAAATTATACATTATACAAGTCAATTACCGTGTGTATACACATATTATAATACATAATTTGCAATATACCCACTTACAAGCACTACACACACCGTGGGAATAGGTCCAGCTATGTTCTTTGGATGCCAGCGAGGAAATTGATTTCGCGCGCGCCCGCCAACACGGAACGGCGGCTGCGGCATTTATCGCGTATACGGCACACACACACACACTTGTTGCACTCATTCACACAGACACATACCGACCGCCACGATCATGTTTTTCTTCCGTTGGTCGTCGTGTAGTCTTGTGCAGACACCGTTGTTTTACAACGCGTGATAACAGCGTACGACGGGCTTTCTTGAATCATATTATTTTAGGTGCCTACTATATATCTATTTATATAAAAATATAGTATGCCTGTCTTTAAAATACGTTGTAATTCACCAAGAATGCTCACCCCCGGTTTTTCCTTTTATTCTTGGTTCTCATTTTGGAAACAGACGTTTGTATCACTGCAGGATACTCTTGCTTCAGTACTACAAAAATTTCAAGAATTCGAAAACAGTATAATCTTTAAAATATAATGTATCTTTGAAAATCCTAAGAATCAGAATTTGAAAAATTTTATTGCGAAA